AACATTTTTATTACCACTTATTGTATTGTTTGCTATAGCATTATTGTCATCAAAAATGAATCTTTCTCAGAAAAATTTTTCAGTGTTATTGTTCTTTTCAGTTGGAAACGAAACAATGTACCGCTGGAAAGACGACCAAATATCAAAGTGCGAAATAAGGATCACTTTTCGCGGTTAACAATTGTAGATTTGGAAGTGCTGAATTCAGGTTTCTACGAATGTATAGCTACCAATAGTGCCGGTACAGTGAAAACTGGAAGCAAATTAAAAGTAAGTTCTGTTTTTTCTTCCTGTTGTTGATTGCTCGCCAAGTTATTCTTCTTCGTTGAACTGTCACTAAACTCGTGTTGGCAAAAAAAAAAAAACTGGGAGCTCTACAGATCATTTGTCAAAAGTAGATCACTTATTTCACTTATCACTAGATCACTTATCACCTATAGATCACTTATTCTTTGTTGTCTTCAGTTCTGTTTCCTTATTTGCTTGTTGTGTTATCATGCAAAAAACGAAGAAAGGTTATATATTTATCTTGAAAATTATATAAATTGTTAAGGACAGCAATTATTTTTCTCAAAGGTGAGGTTATTTTTTGGTGCATACTATCAATTCTTTGATATGCTTTGGTGTAAGTGGAAAGGAAGCAAAAATGGGAAGAAAAAGGAGTGGGAGGAGAAGCGTAGAAATGAAACGTAGCAATTGATCAACGATTGGGTATTGGAAACAGTTTGATTTCAAGAATATTTTTTTCTGTCTGTTTCAAAAAGCATTGATGTCGTGCTTTTTTTTTCTTTAGATTAATAGTAATTTTGCGTTAACAGTGCTCTTCCATGCGGTAAATTTTTGCCTTTTTCTTATAGCTTTATAAGGTTTAGAATAAGTATGTTTGGTCTAAAAGATGTGTCAGGCACTTGGAAGTTCCTGAAACAATTGAATTATAGTTTTTTACCAAGAAAAAGAAAATACCTGTTAGGTGCGCCAATTTTTTTTTACTTTTTTGTCTTCTAGACACTTATTTAGTTCTTATTCATTCACCAACAACAAAAAATGGTAGGAAGGTGTATTCGCAAAATTTGCATGTGTTGAAAAATTTTTAAAGTTTAATGAGTAAGATTAGCGATAAAATTAAAGCATTTGGATTACCGGGATGACAATTGAAATTTAATGAAGATACAGATTAGGAATCCGAAAAAAATTGAAGTTTACGGAAGCCATCTTATGAACATATCTGGGATATCTGTTTGTAATGGCAGTGAACAGTGTTTGGATGATGACCAAAGAAATGTCTTTTTTGCTTCACTCGTACTATAATTTTAGGGGGAATATTTGGTGGAAATGATAGTACCCATTTTATTTTCATATTCCTAATTTCCGATGAAATATCAACAGTTCTTGAAATGCAGTTTTCTGATAGTTTTCAATTAAATTTTTTTAGGCAAGTCTTTTTCTTGTTTGTTTTATTTTCTTTTTATTTTCTTTCTTTTTGCCATTCTGCTGTCGTTGTCATATGAGAAATAATATTAATATTTTGTCCAAAATATATTTTACTCGATTATTAACGCATTTCACAGCTTTCCCTTCTTTTTTT